CCCGAGAAATTTGACACTTTCCATCAGGAAATTGCATTTTTCCGCTCGTAACCGGAAACCAGCTTCTTCTAGACGAGTGAGCACTTTCTCTAACGTGGCCAGCAATGCTTGTGGGTCAGACCCCATAATCAATGCGTCATCCAGGTATACTGCGACCCCAGGGATATCGTTCAGCAGCGTATCCATGATTTGTTGAAAAATGGCGGGAGCAGTTTTCACTCCGAATGGCAACCGATTGTACTGGAAAAGACCCAGATGCGTATTGACCGTCAGTAGAGTTCTGCAGTTCTCGGCTACTGGAACTTGTAAGTAAGCATCAGCTAGATCGAGTTTCGCAAACCATTTTCCACCGTTAAGCTTGGTGAACAAATCTTCAGGTATAGGCAAAGGGTACTGGTGGTTCTCCAACATGGAATTTAAGCCAGTTGAAAAGTCAGCACAAATACGTACCTTGCCGTTTCCTTTCTTTATCACAACGATGGGTGCCGCCCATTCGGAGTAATGTACGCGCTCGATTATGCCTTCCGACTGCAACCTATTTAACTCAGACTCCACTATTGGTTGTGTTGCATACGGCACTGGACGTTTTGGTCTAAAGACTGGTCTGGCGTCTGGTTTGAGGTTCAGCTCAGCTCTCGCTATCCGACAGCATCCAAGACCGGGTTGGAACAAACTTTCGTGGCGCCGCTTCAGTTCTGCAATTTGACTGTAAAGTTCGAGGCTCATATTCTGCGTCTCTGCGGGTTTCTCAACTTGTAATTTCTGGCATATACTGTTAACTGACTGGTCAAGTAATTTCAATTCCTCCATCCAATCGAGACCCAGCAAATTCAATCCTGGTTGATCTGTCACAAAACAGGTTGTACGAATGTGCTGATCACGGAAACTGACCTGACAATGCAACTCTCCGAGAAGTTTCAAAATACCGCCGGATGCGTTTCGTGCTGTGTGGTCTGTGTGGACAAGCGGTGGTCGTCCCAGCATACACCATGTGTCTCGACAAATCAAAGTGATGTCTGACGCAGTATCCAACTGCAGCTTAACTTCCTTATCGTTGATCTTCAAAATTGTAAACTTACGCCTGCCGACACTGTCAACCTTGAAAGTCGCCGTCACAGTTTTGGCCTCGTTGTGACATCGGAAGCGCACTGGGATTCGACGCCGTATTCCGCTCATTGTTGGTCGCTTCGCAAGACAACACGACTCTTTGTGTCCTCGCTTACCACAACGATTGCAAATGTGATTTCGGAACGGGCAGTTTCGACCAAAGTGCCATTCCCTGCAAAACCAACAAGCAGAAGAGGGTTTAGAATGTGGTGAACTCACATGAACCGATTCTTTCTGAGGACTTCTGCTGACCCTGCAAATGATGTCCTGACTACTCTGGATAGAGGACTGTTGGATCATCGCAGCATCATGCTTCAAGTTCATCAACCGTTGGCATTCGTTCGTCACTTCTTGCAGTGTGATCTCGGGATTTTGTTCAATTCTGCTCAGTACTCTTGTTCGGGCATCCGCATCTTTGGTTGCTTGAAGACCACACACATAAATAAGGCACTTGTACTGATCAGCTGTCATCTTGTGAAACAGCGACCGTTCACACTCACGATTTACGCGACTCGAGTAAGTAACCCAGTCTTCGTCGTCTCGCTTGGTCATTGTCAGGCACTTGTATCGGATATTGAATAATGACGACTGCTCTCCAAATATCTGGGACAAAGTAGCAACCGCTTCATCGAATGTTAAATCAGTGCTCTTTTTCGGCAAGATGAAATTCATAAACTTTTCGTGCTCGGCCGCACCCAATTTCCGCAGCATGAGGCGTACTCTCTTGTCCTCTGAAGCACCGGCTAAATCAACGCGAAACAGGTCTTCGTATTTATGGAACCACGATTCAAAAGTAATACCGGCATCAGCATCGTAACGGAATTCACAAACTTGCTGGGTCAAGGTTTCTGCTGAGGGGCAACGTTCACTTGTTCCTGTTACCGAGCCTGCCTGTAGTGACAAATTCTTGGTCAGCGTTTCGATCAGCTTGGCCTGTGCTTTCTCAAACTGCGCCTGCTGTTGCTGCAACAGAGACTGCAATTGCTCAAAACTGACTGACATCTTTGGGTTCTTCTGACTCCTGTCGCCACTGTTGTAAAGCTGCCTTCGTACTGCTGCACTGCTGCTAGTCTGCGCCTGCGAGACTACGACCGCCTGATTGCTCAATCACGCGCCCAACCAACCGACGGGATAGAGAAGACCAAGGCTCGGTAAACAGGGAGTCTATTCTACACGACAGGTCAGTTCTATTTATTGGTGAACGAAACATACTAGTTTTGGAAACGTCTGGCTCTCAGCCAATGTGGGTTGGTTCTGTCGCACGGATTTTCCAAATTTGGCAGAATGGTTCTCCTCCCTTGATTCCGGCTTGTAATTGCTGGCCAATCGGTTTGCACCCGCTTCCCAAATTTGGCAAAACGGTCGAAGGTCGTTCCCCGCTCGTGTATGTGACCTTCGCGTGCAGCAGACAACTCACGTGCTCCGCGGTAAGCCCGTGCGCGACCTCGTGTCTGGACATTGGCTCCGCTTACCTTTCTATTAGTGCCTACCTATCTATTAGCCACTACCTCGTCCATACTGGCTCTAGGAGACAGTTGGTCGTTGCTGGAGGGGACGGGGTGCACGGTCCTTGTGGCCGTACTCATCATCATTATACACGTCAGCTAGAGGTGGGAAACACCTCAGTTACTGTGCCGCATTACATAAAGGAAAAGGAAAATAAATACAACAGTTGCATGCCAGCTGAGCTACCAGCAACCGATAGGCATCGTTCCGGTAAGCTACCAGACGGCAACTAGGCAAAAAAATATTGTTTTACGCTAAAAATGAGAACGTAGGTGGGGGAGGCTGAAAGGGATGGGGAGGGACAGAGAAACTCACAGCACGAACGTCAGTAAGGTCGACTCCTTGCCATGTCAGCAAGTGTATCCAGCCAAACGTTTTCACCGCCCTTTGGACCCCAATAAGGGAGCCGTGACGTTCCAACCGAGTCCAGCTCCGAAGTGACGGCCTTTATTCCTCTGGAGAAAGTCATCGCTTGGCCACCCCTCCTCTTCTTCCATCTACATCCCCGGTGAGCAAACAACGCACGTCGTGGAAGCCAGTGGGCTGTCATGCGCAACACGTGGCCTAGCCATCGGAGCCTGGTGCGTGAAATGACGGTGCTGAGCGGTTCAGTTCCTTTATCTGTGCCGTAAACAAGGCGTCGAACACGCTCGTTGCTCACGCGGTGTTCCCACCAGATGTGAGCCAAACTGCGAAGGCACCGATGGGCGAACGTAACTAGATTCTTCATGTCCGCCGATCTTAGGGGCCAGGTTTCGCAACCGTATAGTAGAGTAGAACGTAGTGCTGCAATATACACTCTACCCTTCAAGGCGAGAGTAATGTCGCGCCACCGCCATAGGTGGCGAAGGTTAGCAAAAGCACTTCGAGCTTATTCTATACGGTTCGTGATCTCATCTTCAATCCCACGGGCGCTGATACAACTTCCCAGGTAGTAGAACTTCCGTACGACTTCTAGCTGATCTCCACCATGGGTCAGTGCAGGAGGCGATCTCTGCCAATCTTAGAGGGACGTTTTGCATTTCCATAGTGAAAAGCAAAGCCCAAAGCGGCTGACAGCCAGTGCTAATCTGTCCAGCGCGGCTTGGCACGTCTGGGAGCTGTTACAGATGAGGGCAATATCGTCTGCATACTACAACTCAAGAAGTCGTTCTCCTGGGAGTAGCTCCATACCTTCCAAGTCATGTCCTGTAAATGCAATCACCATGACTTCGTCAATAGCGAAGTTGAAAAGGAAAGGTGACAACGGGCATCCTTGTCTCACACCGCTGCAGGTTATGAAGGGTGGCGACAGCTTACCATAAGCCCTCACTCTGCCCGTGCTACGCACGTAGAGCGCTCGGAGAATGTTTACATATTTCTCGGGCACATCTTTCCTTAGTGAACAGTCCCCAAGTGCACGTCGATCAACCGAATCGAAGGCCGCTTGGATGTCTAGGAACATGACTACGGTGGATCGCCAATAAACATGGCGGCGCTCCAACTGATTTAATGTGAAGATGTGGTCAATACTGGGTGAGTAGCCGAACAACCTCCTCGTGGTACCAGCTGGGTGCTTCGAGTTCAATCCGTTCCAGCAAGTAGTTCGGCGGCAGTGTTGGGTTTCCGCCTGGCTAGCGTTCTCCCTGCAAAAAGCCACGTCTGCTTAACAACACTGTGACGTGGCGAAGGTGACTCGCCACTAAATAAAGTCACTGCCCTTGCTTACACTTATCAAATCACCAGACGGCACACGTTATTTTAAACAAGGACGACTCGATCGAACTCATTCAAAAGAATAGCAACACATTTAAAAACGTAAGCAATACATCTACCTACATACCTACTTTTATGGAGCCACATATGTAAATCCTATTATACTGTTGCACATTCCTTGTTTAATTGTTGTACTAGTACATTGATCATGCCTTTAATGGTGTGCCTCGCGTGGCCGAGAATAACATATTATTTATTTATTTCGACGAAACCCCGTCTGCTCCTCGCGCATCTGACTTGCAACTCCCCGTCTTGAAACTGATCGCTAGGATTCATCCAGTTGTTGATAGCAGTGGAAAAGGAACACAATGAAAGGCACACTTATTGGCTGTCATATCCTTAATACATAATTTAAATGACAACCACCATATGCAACTGTAAGTGAAAGAGATATGCAAATAATTATAATTGCATGGCAATGGTACATCGGTGGGCAATCGTAGAAAGAAAAGAGCCTAATCGATAGACGACGATGCCATTTTCTAGCAAACGGAAAGGAGTAATCTTAAAGATAGGAGAAGGCAAGAGGCTTTAGGAGAAGCAAAGGGGAGCAACACTAGAGAAAGAGAGAGAGCAAAGTGAATAACGCAAAGTACGGGGGAGTAAAAGTAGAAAGAGAAACGGTGCCGTACCTTGGTGTACGATGACAACTTCGACGAGCTATCATAAGCTCTAGTTGGAAAGTAAAGCAGCCATCCGGGATAAGGACAGCATTTATCCAGAGGAACAAGCGGTTCTGCCTTTGCATTTAAAAATCCCGTACCAGTGAAATTGGAGCAGAGCGATTCGGTTTGAGAGATGGAGTCGGCAGGGGCGGGTTCAGTCCGGTTCACTCCCACAGAAGGCTTTGGAGCTCTTCCAGAGTTGAATCTTCCGCGAAATCCCCCACGCCAACGAAATGGTTTTCTTGAAGAACGCTGCAAATAAAAGCAACCGAATAAACGAAGGAAAACCTGTACACCGAGGCACGAAAGTGATGAGTCGTGGTGTATGAGCGGCTCATGCGTCGATAGGTAGGGCCGTTACACAGCGACTAGCACCTATTGAAGGAGGATGGTGGTGAGTGTTGTTTGATAGGCTGGTGACTGAGTCGGGTGAAGTAATAAGGACAAGTGGGATAACTAGTATACATCTCAAATAGGCCATGTCCTCAAACCTTTAATTAAAAGACGCTTGCGATGTCCCTGAAATAAGCAAGTTAGAAGTTAAGATTGGATCATTAAAAAAACAAAGAACTTAGAGCATGCATGGAAATAACAAACAAAGTACCCAACCAAAGTGAGGAACGGATTCCGCTTTTATAAAAAAGATCTGAGCGGTTAAATGATGTGCAATGATGCAATGATGAAAAAGTACGGTGTGCAATAAAATAGAAGGAACATTGAGACGTGATCTCCTTTTTGACTGTCCAAAATCAGTAGAGCGGCCACTATAGCAGTCACCGCATTCTGTGTTCAGAAGGACAGGAATATTTCTCATAGTCCAGTCATTTAAACAATCTCATCGCACCAATTTTATAGTAGTTTCCGACCGACTGCGGATTGCGCCACTCACCCTTACTCTCATCCTCACCATAAACGCTACCATAACTACTACCATCAACAGTGAGAGATGCATAATGTCACAGATAAGTTTGTCCCAAAAATAACTCAGTACCACACAAAATTTAAGTAAACTGCTCGAATGGGAGATGGCTGCAGACAGAACGGGTGACAGTTGTAAGTAATTTCCGCTGTGGTATAAAGCCAAATACAAGGTACGTAGCGCGGATCATAGTCCGGAAGGTGAGATGGACCTAATAGTACCCAAACAAGTGGACAATGACGCTATTCTCCAAGGTAAGATTGGTGATCTCCACCCCGTAGCATTATCACCTTAGAACCTGTAAACGAAACGAGGACTTCATCGACTACCAGTGGGTAAGCATACGTAAAAGGTGCTTAAACCGACTTAATTAACTTAGCCTTATTTGATGGCATAACAAAAATATCATTATTACTTCTCAGCACTCCTCCGTGCACCCTACAGTTTCAAACGCAATGGCTGCGACCGACGCGAGCATTTCTCAGTATGTATGTAATCTCAGCAGTCTAGTAACTAGACATAGAGCCAATAAAAACCATGGAAATCAGTGGATAGGAGAGTCATTGCGTTATAATCATCGTGGCATGCTAGTTGAAGGTGGGCAACACACTTCAGCTAATATGCCGCAAGTAAATGGAATATTTTGGCAAAAATACAGAACAAAACATTTTTAGTTTGTTTGTCACACGCCGATTTTTCTCTTTTTTTGTCATTTTCAATGTTAGTAAAATTAAACATGTGAATCAATACAACACTGCACACAATTCTTCCACTGATTCCGGTTGCGGGCCATGTCTTCAAGAGTCCTAAGCCATTGGCACTCCTCATCTTTGGGTCCCCATCCTGGAAGACGTATGGGTCCAACAGTGACTAGACGCGACGTCAGCGATTTCATGTGCTGCCGCCAAGTGGAAGGCTGACCACCACGCGGTCGTTTCCAGCCAGTAGACAACAATAGTCTTGTCAGAAATGTCACACAGTCTAAACGAGACTGGACCCTAACCTGGTGCAACAGTTTGCGTACCTCTGACCCATTGAGCTAAACTGGGTGGTGCCTCCGGTCCCCTTGTGAGCTACTCTGGCCAGGTGGATCAATGGTCAGAGAGTACAGACAAACTCAGCCTCCTGGTCCTCCAGGTTGGGGGTTTGAAATAGGATGGCGTCCAAATTTTTAAAGCTGAATCATTGCCACTACTCCGCTGTCTTGTGAACAGGATTTTGAGCCCAAGCCTATGAATGAGGACCCAAATACACTTCCTGTCTAAGTCTGGGCGCATTGGTAGTATTCCAGCCCACATACAACTATGTCAATTTCCCCAAACTCTCACTATATCCTGCATCGGCCGTCGCGCAGACTAGCAAGTCACGTTATCGGCTGCATACAGCATGGCGGATAAACGAAAACATGCTACTGCCAGCTCCTCCATTCTTTCTTTTTTACCTGTTTCTCTTACTCCCAACCCGACCAACATTATTAACCTTCATTCCATACTTCCCAGCTTAACTGACAGCGACCGAAGTGCTACTGGAGTATTAGCATCTGCAGCCCGCTTCCCGCAACACCCACCGGACACCCATCGGCAAACATCCCTTATAATGTCAAGCTGTCCCGTTTCCATGGCTGCGTACAACAACCGCACACTAAGACAAATAAGTCAAGTTGCTGCACTTGTACGCACCTTGAAAAAAATGCTTATTGAGGTGTATTGTGTGTCCGAAACTGGATCAATGACCTTAATGCAATTGTTCAATTAGCGGCACCCGGCTAATCCTCCCATCACCACCATCATCATCAACAGCAGTACATCAGCCATTTGAACTGATGCTTCGCTGCCATACAACCATGAGAACCTATTAAATAAAGAAGAGGGAGAGAAGGGGGACTTACCTGAAAACCTTAATGCCCTAAGCAAACATTCAAGGTCAAGGCGCCTACACCTTGTGTAGACAACATACTGTCACAAACAGCTGCCTATCGTGCAAAGATAAGGCGGCATCGGCGAGACAGCTTCCTTGCGGCTTTCACTGCCACGCGTCATAATCAGCCATTATCCCGCCGATAACTCAGCACCAAACACACTTTAAACAGGCAATCCAATTAGGAGACGGCAGCAGACGCGCCACTGATGTCTACTGCGAGCCATGTCCTGTAAAGTCTGTAGCCAAGCACAAGGCGAATCACGTGGACTCCAGCCCGGAAGGCGAGACGGACCAACGGTACCCAGTTTGGTCGTCAGTGACTTCATTTCCAGCTGCCAAGTCCACTTCTGTCCACCGCGAGCCTTGCGCCACCCTACACCTGGCAGACTAAACAAGGCCCTCCTTGGTAAGCGGTGACCAGGCATACGTAGCACGTGCCCGAGCCAACGCAACTTATTCAGTGCTATCTGTTGTTCTAGGGAGCGAGCATGATTATCACTACCTAGTACTCGCCTACGCACATCATCGTTGCCGACACGCTGGTGCCATCCGATTCCAGCAATGCTTCGTAGGCAACGATGATCAAAGACTTGAAGGCGCCTCAGCTCTTCAGACCGAAGGGGCCAAGTCTCACTACCATACAGCAGAACGGCCCTTACTGTGGCCTTGTATACTCAGTCTTTCAGACGAAGGGAAACTCCCTTCTGTCGCCAAATATGCCGCAGGTTCAAGAAAGTAGCTCTGGCTTTTGCAATGCGTGAGATGACGTCAGTTTCTATCCGCCCATCATTGCTGACGCAGCTGCCAAGATAAGTGAAATGATCAACCACCTCGAGTTCCTCGTTAGCAAGCGTCAAGGGGTCATCAAGTGGCTGGTGGTCCTGCAGCAACACTTTGCACTTGAAGGTGCGAAGTGCATACCAAATCATGGGACCACTCTTGACAGGCTGTTCAGGGTTGATTGTGCCGCCCCAAAATTGTCGAAAAGCAAGACGATATCGTCGGCATAATCTAGATCAACTAACCTTCCACTAGGTAGCACGTCAACGCCTACATCGTGAGATTCCGCAAGGGAACCCTCCATGATAGAATCCACGACGAAATTGAACAAAAACGGGTAAATCGGACAACCCTGACGAACGCCAGTTGTGGTCGGAAAGCTATCTGATAGGACACCGCAGACCCTGACGCGGCCTGTAGTGTTCAAGTATAGAGCACGAAGGATGCTCACATATTTCGTGGGAACACCTTTCCGCGCAAGTATTTCGAACAGAATCGATCGATCGACCGAATCGAACACACTCTTGAAATCGAGGAACACAGCTATTGTTGGTCTGCGGTATGCGTGGCGCTGCTCTAGCATCTGCCGCAAAGTGAATATATGGTCCATACAGCCACGTCCTTGGCGGATACCTGCCTGCTCTTCCCTACTCCGAGATTCCCTTTCCACACTGGGGCGACGAACGGGAATCGACGCCGGTGATTTTGTCACACCTGACGTTAGGCTAATACGCCTGTGGTTAGAACAGCCTGTGCGACGATCTTTCGTGTATGTTGCCACTATAGTCGATCCGCTCCAGTTAGCCAGGATACCCTCTTCCTTCCAGATACGTTCGAATAGGGAGGTCAGTGCTTTGCAGAGGACCTCACCTCCTTCATTAATTAGTGCAGGTGAGACGAAATCCGGGACGGCGGCACGAAAACGATTGAGGGTTGTGGGCGCGTTTCGGACCTCGGCCTCCGACGGAGGCTGTAAACTAACCGTTTATGGCTCGTGCTGCATCACCTGAGTAGGAAGAGGTCCGGGAGCAGGAGGCCAGCTGAACTGATTGTGAAAGTGTTCCTCCCAACGAGCCATACGGCGCTCCTTATTGTGTATCAGTGCACCCGCGCTGTCTCTGACTGTTCCACTGACGCGTGGTTTCCTGGGACCATTGGTACGGATGAGTTTGAAAAGCTAGCGATGATTGCCTACTACTCCTGCTTGCTCCATTTCTTAAGCCGATCGGTCTACCAGGCTTCCTTATCAGCACGTTGTCTCCGCTTTAGTTCACGCCTAATACTCTATGTTCTTGCTTTGTGTTTAGAGCTAGTCGGAATGTTTATTCTTTATTCCAGCAGGTTCACCAACCTCTCGGATATCCAGTGACTGGTGCGTTGACGATTGATAGTGCCATAAGCAGCTGCTCCTGCGTCGTGCATTGCGGCTGAGGTCCTATTTCATTGAAACTCAGTGTCATTAGGGCAAGACAACGAAAGTTCGGCACGCACTACGTTTTGATAGGCTTGCCTGACCGAGGACTGAGACAATTTCTCATTTGCCAATCGCAGGAGACGCTTGGTACACCTCCCGGTAAATTTCCCAGAGAAGTGGCAGCGTGTAAATTCATGATCTAAATCGACGTAGGTATTC